CATGTTGTCCAATGCAAGTTTGGATAAGTCTTTTTGGGTCGAGGCAGTTTCCACGGCAGCCTATTTGGTGAACCGATCTCCGCATTCAGCTCTTGAGGCTAAGACTCCATTTGAGATTTGGTCAGGTACTCCTGCTGACTATTCATCTTTAAGAATTTTTTGTTGTCCTACTTATACTTATGTTAACGATGGGAAGTTAGAACCTAGAGCCAAGAAATGTATTTTTGTGGGCTATGGCTCCGGTGTAAAGAGTTACAAGTTGTATTGCCCTTCAAGCAAGAAAATTATTATTAGCCGTGATGTTATATTTGATGAATCACACATGTTATCTCCAAGGAAGGAGGATTCTGTTGCWGGTGATTTAGGTAYATCACAAGATGACCGGATGCAGGTGGAGGTGGAGCCCAGTCCCTCTTCACAGCCTTCTCAGTCAAATGAACCAATCACATCAGATGATGTTCAGCCCAATCAGGAGTCGCACACTATTGCTAAAGATAGACCGAGGCGACAGATAAGACCACCAAGTAGAATTGATGATTGTGTGTCTTATGCATTGACCATCGCTTGTGAGGTAGATAGCACTACCGATCTGACCACTTACGATGAAGCCATATCCGGTCTAGATAGTGGTAAGTGGTTAGTTGCCATGGAAGAGGAGATTGCATCTCTCGAAAAGAATGGCACATGGGAGCTTGTATCACCACCACCAAAGAAGAAAATTGTTGGGTGCAAGTGGGTCTACAAGACTAAGGAGGATATTTCTAGTGTTGAGGATGCTCGACACAAAGCAAGGTTAGTGGCACAGGGTTTCAGTCATGTTGCAGGTGTTGACTATACCGAAGTATTCTCCCTTGTTGTTAAACATTCTTCTATTCGTACCTTGCTTGCTTTAGTAGCTATGCATGACATGGAATTAGAGCAGTTAGATGTTAAAACTGCATTCTTGCATGGTGATTTGAAAAAGAAGATGTATATGAAACAACCAAATGGTTTTGTTGTAGAAGGAAAGTAAGACCATGTTTGCTTGTTGAAGAAGTCTTCGTATGGCCTTAAGCAGTCTCCAAGGCAGTGGTATAAGCGCTTTGACGTTTTTATGACTTCTAGTGGTTATTCCAGGAGTGCCTTTGACAGTTGTGTTTATTTCAGGAAGCTCTCTGATGATTCCTTCATTTATCTGTTATTATATGTTGACGACATGCTCATTGCTTCTAAGAATAAGTCTGAAATTGTGAAGCTGAAGTCTGTCTTGAACAGTGAGTTCAAGATGAAGAATCTGGGTCCAACGAAGAAAATTCTAGGTACGGATATTATTCGTGATCGTGAGAACGGGAAACTGTTTCTCAGTTAGCAGAACTATATTGAGAAAGTTCTTGATCGTTTTGGCATGTCAGATGCCAAACCTGTCTCCACTCCTCTAGCAACTCACTTCAAATTATCGGCAAAGCAGTCACCGAAGTCTAATGAGGAGAAGGTCTATATGGCTCGTGTGCCTTACTCTAGTGTTGTTGGTAGCATCATGTATGCTATGGTATGGTCGCATCCAGATATTGCTTTGGCAGTCAGTGTTGTGAGTCGTTATATGTCCTGTCCAGGGAAGGCTCATTGGGAAGCCGTGAAGTGGATCCTTAGGTATTTGAGAGGTACATCTAATTTCTGCCTTGAGTTTGGAAGATCCATAGAGAAGCTTGTCGGTTATTGTGATTCCGATTATGCTGGAGATCTTGATCGGAGGAGATCTCTCACTGGCTATTGTTTCACTTTGGGGAGTACCTCTATTAGCTGGAAAGCTTCACTTCAGTCGACTGTTGCTTTGTCTACGACTGAAGCTGAGTATATGGCTGTGGCTGATG